ATTCTGTCCAATGACAATTTTAATATTTATGATGTTACACATCTGAATTCAAGGCTTTTTAATATTTTTAAAGGCCTTTATTAAAGAACAGTAAGGGTGCGTTCACACTTGGATTGATTGCCTAGTCCAAACCCAAGTTCAATTACCCCCCTTGCCACCTTCTCGGCTGGTCTATAATCACACTGTTTATTTTCTTTCTAAACCTCCAGTACGTCTGCATCATCAAGCTGCTATTGTGTGTACAGACACTGTGTGACATCCTTGAAAGCAAAGATGCCAAAACAGAAAGACGTACGCACATCAGTCATTCTGCTTTTACTGAATCTTTGGTTTTGTTACCAAAAAGGTCAGTCCTTCTTGTTACAAAGGCAGGTGATACACAGCCATACACATGAATGAACGTTATGAAAACTAAAGTTTGTTGTACAATTGGCGGTTCACTTACATTATTTGGTACAATTACATTCATTTCAGAGGTGAACCGTACCCCAGACCACCTCTTTCAGGTATCGTTTGTGGGTGCGCACCAGAGTTCAGTAGACTAAACGTGATGAACACTGATGTCAAATGATGTCAAATGAAGCCGGTTGTGAACCAAAAGTGTGAAAGCATTATTCTACGACTTTTTATGGACTCGCAGCCAACCTGCGTAATATGACACAACAATAATGTTATTGTATATACGGACTAGGGTTGGGTCGATAGACGATCCCATCGTCCATCGCCCCCGTTGCAGTGGCTACCCATTTGTGAAATATACACACTCAGGCCCCGTTTACGCTAATACATCTTAGCTTTAAAATGGCATTTTAGAACGAAAACGATCCACGTCCACACTGGCGTTTCACCTAGCTCTGAAAAGCCCTCAGTCCACACTATATTGATGATAACGCACATCACATGACCACACACACACTGTCATGCGCTGCAGCATACGCGTGCGTCTGAGCTCCAGGCAGTCAACGGGTGCTTTAAGCACAAAAACCCAGAGAGCAGTGCACATCTGAATTTATTCCGGTATATCAAGGATGTAGCACTGGATTGCGTCTCACTATAGTTGTTAAACGTGATATTTAATTAATCTTGTCTCTATCTAACAACACTTTGGTCTTTTGAAACTATCAGGTAACATGTCACAGCATCAGAACACTGCTTTAATCTTTTGCTTTCACACTTGTACTTAATAATTTTAGAGTAAACCTCAGATACTGTTGGTTTTGCACCTTTTTACCAACCATGTTTGTCGACGCCATTATAACACTCACAGCTCACAGTGTCTATTCTTGCCAGAGTCCCGCAGAAAAAGTAATTGACAGGTGGTATTTTGTGTAAACCTTATCTTTATTTATTTATGATTTGATTATGGGTAAAACAAAGACCATGCGGGTCAGGTAGTTGTAACGGTAGGCTACAAATAATTTATTCGTAATGAATTAATGAAATATTCATAAATAATTAATTCAGCCTAATGACATTGTCCATTGCGATGTTTCACATTGAACATCGTACGATGCCAAAATTGTCGACGTCTCCCAACCCTAATATGGACCCAACAAGCATTTTTTGTTCATTAAAAAAGGAATTTAATAGACATCCAACAGTAGAAACTTTGCCTAAAAAATTTGACATTTGGGTTGTCATTGAAATCTAGTCAAAAATAGACTAGTCACCACATAGTCTGTCTAATTTAGTCAATCAAGAAATCTCTGGATGTCTTTAAACACACACAAAAAAAAAGCTTGCTCTGAAACTACCAGTGATTATTTTTAAGGTTGGATGGCTGTTGAGTAGGTGATGTTCAGGAGGCAGACTCTTACCTGACAGCAGTGTTTCAGCAGGGTAGAGCTCATCGCTAACACACATGCCATTCCGTGCAGAGAAAGACTGGAGACACTCCTTTGCTTGAGGAATCTGAGCTGTGGCCAGGAGCCAACGAGGAGATTCTGGAAACACTGAAGCACAGCTGTTGCCAGACACACACACAAACACACAATTTATTAGTGTTGCTGGCTCTATGATTTTGGTAATCTCGTGACCCTAATGTAAATATTGTAATAGCTGTTTTTGAGACAGAAACAATACACAATGTATTGTAAAGGCTAAAAATCAGTTCACACCACTATTAACTTAAAACAACATCAACATAGTGATGAAAATCTTTCTAAATTGAAAGAATTTGTGTAGAATAGAGTCCAGACAGAGTCACTATTACAATAATGATAATATTATAAAAAGACTGTTGTAACCACTTTCAGGGCTCAAATTACTGACATCCAATTTGATTATACTTCATTCTGATCAGCATATGCTTATAACATCTAGAATGCTAGTGTCTGTTGGTGTTGCTAATATAATTACCGTTACAGTTATAGTAACTGGTGTGAAATGACCTTTAGATATGTTCACATCTTATGAATGAGGCTGCATAAAGTTCATTAAACCAAAAATCTAATCAGCCATTGACACAACAGCATCACAATGCACACAAGCATATAGCCTCCGTACATGTCATTGTCAAGATGGTCTGCTGAAATTCAAAAGAAGTATTAAAATTATTGAGAAAGGTGATTTTAAAAAAGATAAGACTCTGAACGTGGCATGGTTATTGATTCCAGATGGGCTGATCTGAGCGTTTCATAAAGTGAGGATCTACTGGAATATTCACAACCATTACTATAGGATTTATGAACAATGGATGGAAAAAAGAAAACCTAGTACGCAATAGTTAAAGGGAGCAAATAATTGCTGGTTCTAGCTAATAGAAAGGCAATTATAATGCAAGTAACAACTTGTTAAGACCATGGAGCTTCTCTGATTGAGAGATACGTCAAACCGTGAAGCAGATAAGCAACAGCAGCAAGCTAAAAACAGCACAACTGCTACAATTTGCATAGGGTCACCAAAAGTGGACAACAGCACATTGAAAAAAAGATTGTCTGGACTGATGTCAATTTCGGCTTCATAACCATTGGTAGGGTCTCAATTTGGTGTAAATGCCATGTAAACATTGTTCCATTCTGCACAGCATCAATGGTTTAGGCTGCTGCTCATTGTGTAATTAAAAATCTTTTCTTTTTTGAAGGGATGGTCCACTACAATATAATATATGAAACTTTTGCTGATGTGTAATGTAGCTGTGTGAATGTAAACAACATCTCTGAATGTTAGACGTTCAAAGTTCAATACAAAGGGAGACACTGGCTTTTACAGAGTTAGCTTAGCAAAGCCTACAGTGAACAAAGTTTGGGGACCACACAAAAATACATCTGGGTTCAGGTTATGCGCATTCACCACATGCAGCGGAGGGGCGTGGCCAGAGGCACTGTAATGTAGCAGAGAAAGCCAAAATGCTGTCCTAAAGCTGCTATTTCCACAGAATTTATTCTGTTTCTGTATTTCGGCTTTCAAAGGACATAACACAAAGAGAGAAGTGCTTACAGTTTCATTTTAATTGTGTTACAGTGAATTATGAAAAATATATAGCTAGCATTTAACAAAGGACAGCTTCCAGATTCTCTCCCAGTTCACTGCTGGATTTAGCTAAAAACTCCTCAAAGAAGCAGCTCCAACCATAATAGATAAAGCTGTGCATTGTGAGCCACAATCTGTGGGTGTTATTATTTGTTAAAATTGATCTATTACATGCATAGATTATAGCATTAACAGTATGTTGTAGCAAGGATCTAAACAACAGGAAATGCTGTTTGGCATTGTTAACAATACAGCTCAAATTCATTTTTATCAGTTAAACCATTGTAAAGACCCACAATCTTCAGCAGTGCTGCAGTGTTTATCTAATCTAAAATACTGAATTTATAAAAGGTTTGTGAACATTTCATATTACTTACACATGCCTAAAACCCAAATATACAGTTAAAGTCATAAGCCCCTCTTTGATTTTTTTCTTTTTTAAATATTTCTCAAATGATGTTAAACATAGCAAGGACATTTTCAAAGTATGTCTGATATTATTATTTTTTTCTTTTGGAGAAAGTCTTCTTTGTTTTATTTTGGCTAGAATAAAAGCAGTATTTATTAAAAACAAAAACATTTTAAGGTCAATGTTATCAGCTCCTTTAAGCTATATTTTTTAATAGTCTACAGAACAAACCATCGTTATACAATAACTCGCCTAATTACCCTAACCTGCCTAGTTAACCTTATTAACCTAGTTAAGCCTTTAAATGTCAGTATAGAAGTGTCTTGAATAATATCTAGTAAAATATTATTTACTGTCATCATGGCAAAGATATTAGCAATGAGTTATTAGAGATGAGTTATTTAAACTATCATATTTAGAAATGTGTTGAAAAACATTCTCTCCGTTAAACAGAAATTGGGGAAAAAATAAACAGGGGGGGCTAATAATTCAGGGGGGCTAATAATTCTGACTCAACTGTGTGTGAGACACTTGTCAGATTTTATTTTAGAGAGCAGGCATGAGGTTTCATAGTGTCTTTATTTTCTGATTAAATAGTTACCCTGACTGATAGTAGCCTCTTGAGGGCGGGCCTTTTAGAGGAACTAGAAAATATGACAGCCTTTACATGTTAGCAGAGTAGCTGTTCATAATCAAAATAAGATCTATGAAAAACATTGGGTGATTTTCTACAAGTGAAGCACGATCACACATTGCTTTGCATCTTATAAACACAACCAAACCTTAAAATACACACTGGACCACTCCTGTAAATTGAAAAAAACTATTGGTTTACGTTTTTTTTTGTTTTGTTTTGTTTTGTTTAAAAAAAAAATCAAGTGGCCAATATGTACTGAAATAAACAAGTGCACATGACATGTCAAGTGTAAAAATCTGCATTGATATGACTCACCACCAATAGGACAGAAGCAGCAGTAGAGGCAGCGTGGCCACAGCCTGAAGAACAGGCCAATCACGGCAAAGCACAGCAAGCCCTGGCAAAAGAAGCTCCGCAAACACTGCGAAAAAGCCACTGACCATGGACACCATCAGCCTGTGAGAGGGGTCACACCATTCCAGCCCTGCACCATGGAAGAGGAGAGAGAAAATAACTCAAACTTTACTCATTCATGTGTAAATGGAATCATCAAAAAGAATGAAGGGTGAGAGGGATTCTAGAAAAAAAAAACTCTCTTCCTACAGTTCTTCAACAACAGGAAGTCCTCTTTTCCTCTCACTGGTAATTGTTCCTATTAGATTACTGAAACGTCCTGTTCTTTTAAATTTTCTATCCATGTTTGTAAAAAAGAGATGTATTGATCTATACTTAAAATGTACATTACATTAGACATGTCTTAAAATATAGTTACGTCTCTTTGGAGTTCACGAGAAGCTTGTGATGTTGTTTTATAAAGCTGTTCTTGAAAGCATTGTCAGGTAGTGCGGTTTGCCAACCTATCTGTGCAGTGTAAATCTAAGTTGATGCATCTTAAAGTCTGGATGGAAAATTGCTGTGCATGATGAATATTTTATTGCTCAAGTTTTATATGAGAACTGTGACTTTAATCACGTGGAAAGGATTCTGAATGATCCACCTCACTTTTTGTTTCAACATATGAACTGCTTCCTTCTGATAGTCCCTAAGTGTAGGCTGAACTGATATAAGAGATCCTTTGTACTCGTTTCAATGTGTTTATTTATCAAGAGTTTATCTAAATTATCAGTATAATTATTGTAACTACTAGATTTTGTATTGTTTTATTGTTTGTTTTTATGGTTTGTCTGCTGCAATATGGTGATGCCCATAACAAATTTCCTGTTGAAGACAATTAAGTCTACTACTACTGCTAATTCTACTACACACACCCGGCTGAATTAGGTCTCTTATCTAATGTAAACAGTAGACACAACATATTTGTTTCACATGATGTGAATTTCCAACTTCTATTAATAGAGTCTTCAGTTTAGACTTTATTTCGATAATGTAAAAAATGTATAAACAAATCGGGGCAGCACGATGGTGCAGTGGCTAGCACTGCCGCCTCACAGTAAGAAGGTCATTGGTTCGAGTCCCGGCTGGGTGTTCTCTTCATGTTGGCGTGGGTTTCTTCCGGGTGCTCCGGTTTCCCCCACAGTCCAAAGACATGCGCTATAGGCAAACTGAATGAACTAAATTGGTTATAGTGTATGAGTGTGTGTGAATGTGAGTGTTTATGGGTGTTTTCCAATACTGGGCTGCGGAATTAGATGGGCATCCACTGCGTAAAACATATCACAGGAATAGTTGGCAGTTCATTCCGCTGTGGTGACCTCTGATAAATCAGAATAAGCTAAAGCAAAATGAATGAATGAATAATAAACAAATCAAAATAATACAACTTAATTTAAAACTATTTTAACCAAATAAAGAAAAGAAGCAAATGCTTTGATCCAAACCTTTCTCCTCCTACATTAAATGACAATAAATATCATATTAACACTAGGATTCTGTCATCTCATTTTTATCCTAATACATAATCACATTATTCTTCAAAAATATACTGATTTGGTGCATTGCTTAAGTATTTTTTATGCTCAGTTATTAATGATTCTTTTGATATTATAAATGTTTAAAACAACATTTATTTTCCAAAATCCTTTATTGATAGCAAGCTCAGAGCATTTATTTTGAAAGACTTTTATTCTTTATTAATCTGGGGTCCACAGCGGAATGAACTGCCACCTAATCCAGCATTTGTTTCACTTCTTGCTGTAAGCACTAATCACTGTGCCGCCTTTGAAATATTATATAAGATTAAAATTGTTACAAATGTCTCTGCATATATTTAAAAAGATTTAAACCGTTTGTTTTACGTCAACGTTAGTTTGTTTAGTGTTGTTCAGCAAACCTCATTAAAATAAATACTGTAAATAAATTAAACAAAATGGGTCGATAAGGTGGCTCAGTGGTTAGCACTGTTGCCTTACAGCAAGACGGTTGCTGGTTCTAATCCTGGCTGGGTTAGTTAGCATTTCTGAATAGAGTTTGCATGTTCTCCCAGTGTTGGCGTGGGTTTCCTTCGGGTGCTCCAGTTTCCCCCACAGTCCAAAGACATGCGCTATAGGTGAACTGAATAATCTAAATTGGCCATAGTGTATGAATGAGAGTGTATGGGTGTTTCCCAGTACTGGGTTGCAGCTAGAATGGCATCCACTGTGTAAAATATATGCTGTATAAGTTGGTGGTTCATTCCACTGTGGCGACCCTTGATGAATAAAGGGGACTAAGGAAAAATGAATGAATGAAATAAACTAATTTAATTAAAATCAATTTTAAAAGCTCAGTGATTTATACATGCTCTTTGTAAAACTAAATAAAGTCATTCATAGCCACACGTATCCAGCAAGGGTTTAAGCAGTATTAATGTAAAATTTGTACAACAGTAATAATAAAGAATAAATCAGGGTTGCCTCAATGTTTGACTGGTATATAGGCAGAAAATGAGAAACATCTAGACTGATAGTGTATGTGTCTGTATTCCTTGTAACACACAGAACCACCCTCACTTTTCTACGAGAGCTCACTGAAGGGGTTTGCGTGTTGGAAAGAGTGATCTGCCTAATGAACAACATGCACATAAACTCCTGTAACAATCACAGGAAGAGCGCAACAAGAACACAGACCTCCTCACAATGGAAAAAACAGAGCAGATCTTGTATGTTTTTCATACCGCTTCAGACAATTATCTCATGTTATCACAAAAAAGACAGAAACACAGAAAAACAGGGCAGTGGACATATCCCCGCTGAACTTTCTCCAGACGATTAGACAGAGAGTGATGTAAGAGAAACAGTTGTGAGGCTTAGAACAGTTTGTTCGTGAGATATAAATGGATTGCTGTGCACTGCTGCTCCCTGTCAATCGCTTCACCCTACTCTGCAATGGAGAAGCCACATGGAACATTCCAGAGAGACTCCTGCTGGGGGGTGCAAACAACACAAGGCAACAAGCAGGATACTCCTTATCAAAAGTCTTTTATCAATCCAGTCTGAAGATTAGATCTTGCAAAAACTTTCAAGAGAATGAGCATTCCCATATTATTGTTGAGGTTTGAAGGGTCGCGAAATCCCAAAACACATTTTTTGAGATGTTGACAGTCATACAGTTAGGTCCATAAATATTTGGACATTGACACAATTCTAACATTTTTGGCTCTATACACCAACACAATGGATTTAAAATTAAATGAAAAAAAGTGCTGTAACTGCAGACTGTCAGCTATAATTTGAGGGTTTTTTTACATCCAAATCAGGGGAACGCTGTAGGAATTACAACAGTTTGCATATGTGACTCCCACTTGTTAAGGATCCAAAAGTAATAGGACAGAATAATAATCATAACTTTTACTTTTTAATACATTGTTGCAAATCTTTTGTAGTCAATTACAGCCTGACGTCTGGAACACACTGTCATCACCAGATGCTGGTTTTCAATCTTGGTGGTGCTCTGACAGGCCTCTACAGCAACTGTATTCAGTTCCTGTTTGTTGTTGGGGCATTTTTTTCTTCAGTTTTGTCATCAGCCTGTGAAATGCAAGCTTAATTGTATTCAGGTCAGGTGATTGACTTGGCCATTGCATTACATTCCACTTCTTTGCTTCAAAAACTCTTTAGTTGTTGTTGCAGTATGCTTTGGGTTATTGTCCATCTGCACTGTGAAGCACCGTCCAATGAATTCTGAAGCATTTGGCTTAATATGAGCAGAAAATATTGCCTGAAACACTTCAGAATTCATCCTGCTGCTTTTGTCATCAGTCACATAATCAATAAATATAAGAGAACCATTTCTATTGACAGCCATATATTCCCATGCCATGTCACAACTACCACCAAGCTTTACTGCTTAAGATCATGAGCAGTTCCTTTCCTTCTCCATACTTTTCTCTTCCAGTCACTCTGGTACAGGTTGATCTTGATCTCAACTGTCCATAGGATGTTGTTCGAGCACTGTGAAGGCTTTTTTAGAACTCTAATCTGGCCTTCCTCTTTCTGATGTTTACCAATGGTTTACATCTTGTGGTGAACCCTCTGTATTCCCTCTGTTGTCGTCTTCTGTTGATTGATGACTTTGACACACATACACTCACCTTCTGGAGAGTGTTCTTGATCTGGCCAACTGTTGTAATTTCTTCACCAGGGAAAGAATTCTTTGGTCGTCCACCACAGTTGTTTCTGTGGTCTTCCGGTTCTTTTGGAGTTGCTGAGCTCACTGGTGCACGCTTTCTTTTTAAGAATGTTCCAAACAGTTGTTTTGGCCGATGTAGCGAATATACCGGTACCACGTCGCCCTGGTCAAGGATTCACCCCAGCTGGCACCTAATCCACACTGGATCGATCTCAGCTGGAGCTAATCAAGAGGAGACCCATATAAGCCAGCCCCACACAAGAGGAGGACGAGCTTCATTCTTTCATGACTCCCTGCGCTAACGCTTGTGTCTCTCTGTCTCTTACCCACAGCGACCTCCAGCTAGTGATCGATCCAGCACCCAAACTCTCCTTTTACCACACCACTTCCCCGGAGCACCTGAGCACCTATCCCAAGAAGAGCACCGTATTTACACTGTTCACCCTTATTCACCGTGTAAATAAAGCACCCTCCGGGGGATTGTTTGTAACACCACGCCGTTGTGTTTGTGTTTTCCCTCTGCCTCGCTACAATTGGTGGAGAATGCGGGCAGAATAGAGGGAAAATTCAGAAAAAAGACACTTACCGGTAAGGAAAAATAACCGCTGAATTTTCTTTGTGTTACAGACAAGGCATCCGCTCTCTCTCTCCCACTCACTCTCTCTTACTCTGCTGTCATCATCCCCGTGAGCCATGTCCTTGGAAGAGGTGATACGCCACCTAGTGGAGATTTCCAGCAAGCAACAGGCTCTCACTGAGCAGCTCACAGCCCGGCAAGATCGGCTGGAACAACAGCTCCACCAGGTGGCCGGACGCATACCGCTCCCTGAAGTGAGTGCGCATCACCATATCACAAAACTCAGCGACCTGGATGATATTGACGCATACTTACATACGTTTGAAGTGATTGCCGAGAGAGAATGCTGGCCGAAGGAAAACTGGGCGAGAATGTTGGCTCCTTTTCTCACAGGAGAAGCACAAAGGGCATATTTCGCACTTGAGACACCCCAAAATGAAGATTACAAAGCGTTAAAAAAGGAGATATTAGCCAGAATGGGGCTTTCCACAATCAGCGCAGCACAACAGTTTTCCCAGTGGTCTTATGACGAGAAACAGCCAGTGCGGACTCAAGCAGCTCAACTTTCTCGTCTGGGAAGACTATGGTTATTGGGAGGAGATCCTTCGGCGGTCCAGGTCGCTGAGAAAGTGATGGTGGAGAAGATGATGCGAGCGTTACCCCGACATTTGCGCACGCTCACCAGCATGAGAAATCCTGGATCATTGGCCACCCTGGTGGAAGCGGTGGAGCTGGCTGAAGCTCACGTAGCCAGGGATATGGGGGAGAGAGCGGCTCTGCCAACCCGGAGGGTGAATACACCTTGGCGACCGGTGGAGGGCACATCGCGGCCAGACAGCAGACCAGCGGTCCCCAGCCCGATGGACGAGCCGATGCCCACAGAGCCGACGATGTACTCGACCCCGGCCTTGACAGCAGGTTGCGTGGTTCACCGCAACATCCCACCCGAAGCTCCCACCCGTAAAGTACGTATCGGGGGAAAAACACAAACGGCCACGTTAGACACAGGAAGCGCCATCACTCTGGTTCACCCAAAGACCTTAAAATATCAGCATGAAGGTAAAGGTCGAATTCCAATCACATGTGTGCACGGTGATACCCGCCACGTAACCGCTCAAAGAGTAACCATCGCGGCAAAACCAGGCAGCTGGCGCATCGAAGTCGGTGTGGTACCAGATCTTCCTGTGCCCCTCCTCCTCGGCAGGGACTGGCCGGGGTTCGATGAACTCCTCACTCACCATCATGCTCTATCGGCTCGTCCTAAAAAGAAGAGCAAGACACGGGCTCATCGGGACCGCAAACCAGTATTGATGACCACCGAGAGCGACAGAGGGGGTGAGTCATCAACATCATCCAAGTTATATTTTGATCTGTTTCAACAGATAACTGCAGGAGGTGATTTCGGGAGAGCGCAACGAGAAGATAAGACGCTCAAACACTGCTGGTCACAAGTGAGAAGAATAGATGGGAAAAAACGGCTTCCCAGCCCTCACCCCCTCCCACATTTTGTCGAAAAAAATGGTCTGCTATACTGTGTCGCAGAGAGGCGGGGGAAAAAGAAGGCATTACTGGTCATTCCGAGGACCAAGAGGGAGACTGTTCTGGATTGGGCACATACTCACCCGAGGATAGGACATTTAGGAGCTGGAAATACGATGAAAAGGGTCCGTGATCGATTCCACTGGCCCGATCTGGACGGAGAGGTGAAAAGATATTGTCAGGCATGCAACACATGCCAAAGAACGTCTCCCCAACGATCAACCCCCAGCCCTCTAATACCATCACCCATCATGAATGTGCCCTTCACCCACACCGGTATGTACGTGATAACCCCCCCTCTCAATACCCTTACTCTTTTCTGCAGAAATCCCAGGACCAGGACGACGCTAAGGGGGGGGGGATGTAGCGAATATACCGGTACCACGTCGCCCTGGTCAAGGATTCACCCCAGCTGGCACCTAATCCACACTGGATCGATCTCAGCTGGAGCTAATCAAGAGGAGACCCATATAAGCCAGCCCCACACAAGAGGAGGACGAGCTTCATTCTTTCATGACTCCCTGCGCTAACGCTTGTGTCTCTCTGTCTCTTACCCACAGCGACCTCCAGCTAGTGATCGATCCAGCACCCAAACTCTCCTTTTACCACACCACTTCCCCGGAGCACCTGAGCACCTATCCCAAGAAGAGCACCGTATTTACACTGTTCACCCTTATTCACCGTGTAAATAAAGCACCCTCCGGGGGATTGTTTGTAACACCACGCCGTTGTGTTTGTGTTTTCCCTCTGCCTCGCTACACCATGCATAGTGTTTTTGCTATCTCTCTGATGGGTTTGTTTTGTTTTTTCAACTTAATGATGGCTTGCTTGACTGATAGTGAGAGCTCTTTGGAGCTCATCTTGAGAGTTGACAGTAACAGATTCCAAATGCAAATAGCACACTTGAAATGCACTCTGAACCTTTTATCTGCTCATTGTAGTTGAGATAATAAGGAAATAACACACACATGGTCATGGAACAGCTTAGAAGCCAATTGTCCACCTACTTTTGGACCCTTAACAAGTGGGAGGCACATATGCAAATTGTTGCAATTCTTACACTGTTTAGCTGATTTGGATGTAAATCACATCTTGTCCGTTTATTTTGAAATCCATTGTGTTGGTGTATAGAGCCAAAAATGTTAGAATTGTGTCGATGTCCAAATATTTATGGACCTAACTGTATACCCCATGTTGCTAAAAACACTATTGGGACACATGTTTCACAAAAAAGTGAAAATTGGTTGTTTTTGCGTTGTTTTGAAAAAAATTCATTCTTACGATTAAAATAGAAATTTTGAAGTTACATCACAGCAATGAGATCATTGTATACGTTTCAGTGTGGAGATTGGATGTCTGCATGTCTCAATGATGACAGAATTGAGCTTTCAGCACATCTGTAAAAAAAAAAAATCTCTGTAATTCATAAGACTTGGTTTGAACCAATCAGTGCGCTCTATTGTGAATGCGATGCAACTTCATTAATATGTATGATATAGCTTCGAAGACTCTTTACCTGTTACAGTGTTCAAACAGACGCCACTTTGTGTTGCCAAAGTGTTTTGTTTTAATTTTTCCGCAATGAGAGCACAGCTCGCGTGTGAGCCTACATGTGTGGACTACAGTGGTCTGCTAACATGTGACAAAAATATGTTTGTAAGGGACATTTTTTACACAACAGCTTTTTCTCATCTGGACATGGTGAAATCAGGATTTGCCATCGTCTTCTTTAAAAAAAAAAAAAGACATGGATCCAGTTTGTGTTGATTGTCCTGTCTCTACAGATTTGGTAAGTGTGTGATCAATGTTCATTGATTATGTTTCTCTAGATGGCAAAGTTAGTATCTTCAACAGTATTCTTTCAGTTTTTAAAGACAAACTTTAGTCACAATGAATTTAGTTTACATTAATATTACTGCAATATGCAGATAGCAAAGTTAGTATCGTCAACAGCACTCTTTCAGTTTTTGAAGACCTTACTCAGGTGAAAGTAGTTTACAGTCATATTACTACAATATTATGGACTGAAAATGCTTTGGTGGGTGTCCAACAGTTTGTAAACAGTTGGTTGTGCAACAGGTTACAAAGGTCATACAATAGCCATTGAAATTAATGGGTATCATAGCGCAATGCAACTGGTTTAAAAGCCATTTCACACCTGTAACAACTTTCGTAATGTGTGGGTGAGGAAGAGGGCACGGTCGGAGAATCAAAAAACTGCATTTCTAATCAAAAAAAAAAAAAAAAAAGTATCGTAAAGGTATTTGGCTTCCCTCTCAGGTGTTTCATGCATCTCATAGGCAGCTCCGTGTGGGCCATTCAACCACACTTTCTTCACAACAACACTGTACAGTGATTATATCTGGAAGGAGTTTAAAACACTAAAGACTACTGGGCAGTGCAGCACAGAAAAGCATTTTATTCCCAGCTCATATTTTTGTAATTTTTTTCTATTCCAGCTGAACACAGTAAAGTGCCATTTCTAGCCAATGATTTTTAACACCCGAAAATATTCAGAGCATACCTATCTTAAACATTACATAAGGTTCAATATAATCCCAAAAAGCCATTATCATCACTTCAAAAAATGCTGGGCTATTTCAATCCAAATTTTGCTGATGTAAGGATAAACCCAACCGCTGGGTTAAATTGAATTTATAGACTTTAGCTCAATAGTTATGTTTGTTTATATTTTAGCAGGATTTGGGAATAATAATCCAGTTCTTTAAAAAGTGCATAAGCAATAATTTCATATTACATGGAAGGGAAGACAGTGAACGTGAAAATCACATATTCCCCTACTAGAAAATGTGAAAAGTAGTATATGACAGATTTCTGAATTCATAGCACTCCTAAAAGAGAAGACAAAAAAGCACCAGAATGTCTTTTGCCAGTGAGACTTGCATAAAACTCTCCCATGAGGCCTCAGAAGAGGATTTGTGAATGGCAATGAATTAACACGACACTTGTAGATCATTAAAAAATTACTACATGGTAAATAAACGTAGCATATTTAAAACACATTAATACCACACTCACAGTACATAGAACGCTTTTGTATATAAAGGACAAAACAAGTACCTACTCAAATGAGTTTAGACGCAGCCAGAGGCTCTCGAGAGCATACATAAACATCACATTCTTTCCCTGGAAAAATGTCCTTCTCATTAAAATCACTCTACATACGCCCATTGACAGCCTAGGAAGTCTGAAGAGGTTTTTTTTTTATGTGGCTACTGCCGTTTTTACATTAAACTATCTGACATATAGCTACTTCAACAAATAAATGTGCATGTATGCACTATTTATATTTGTCAGGTTTTAAATGGTAAGAAACATATATTGGGTCAAACGTCTCTAAATGTCGAATGGAAGTGTATGCGCTTTAAAAGGTACTATAAAAAAAAATCTTTACTTGTAGTTTTTGGAAATTGAACTTAGATACACAACTTGAATATCAATATATTGTACTGGAAGACTTTAGGAATAAGACCCAGATAAAAGAGGATAAACCCAGGAAACAGGGACTTCCTGTTGCATTGGAGATTGCAGGAAGAGAACAGTAAACTTGGAAACCTGTGTGGGTTCCTCTACTGCTACTTGTATGATCATCTATACTGTATTGTCTTTAAAATGGTTAACCTGTGGCCATATTCACAAGACACCTAAAGGCTAGTATCTAAAGCCAAGTATCTGCAAACTTGCTGATTTATGGGAATTAAAATTAGGACTCTAATATGTCTGATTAAGATTATTTCACAATGTGTTTTACTGCTAAAAAAGCTCCTAAATCAATTTATGAGGAGTGAAAGTGACTCATAATTCACTAAGACCATGCCACAAATGACAATCTGCCTTGGAAATAGGGCTGCACAACATATAATTTAAGCATCAATATCACAATGTGCACATTCGCAATAGTCACATCGCAGGACGTGTAATGTTAAGTTGTTATCACAGAGCAGTACACATGATTTGTTGAGTCAATAGCTTTGTTTCCATCAAATTTTTGCACAAAACTGGATAACCGCATAAAAGATGTGTGAATAAAGCGCCATTTCAATCCAAGTAGTCAAAGAGAACAAAGTGGTTACTTCCTGTTTAACTGGCGCCAAATATCAACAGTAAAAACAGAATTTTCTGCGGTAGGAGAAGCTGCGTGAATCTTTTCTTTATTTAATAAATGTGCCTCAAACGATGCCAACGTGCAATGAACACATGGTAGTGTTTGAAGGCATGAGACGCAGCGCACAGATACTTTTGACACTTCTGGAGGTCATTAATAATATGATAACAGTAATACTGAAACCGTTAAGGCATTTTAGAATTACCTAGACAACATTTCAGTTGTTTTACAGTGCCCTCAGCCTGCTGGTTTGTCCATTCACACATATTTTCATCATCGCATGATCTCTTATAACAAAATCACATGACCTTTTTTCAGTGGCTGTAAGATTTAAAGCTAATTTAAATCATTTGGGAACCAGAAATTATAAAGTTTGCCACTTAAAGATTAATTGAGCTTAATCATTTATCAAATGAAGACTTTACGGTGTTATTTTAGATTTGATAACTGAATTTCTTTACCTCAATATTGTGATGTTCCACCAAAACCCATTAAGCACTGTTTATTTCATTTTCATCTGTGCTTAAATTTTTTAACCCTTTACCGCACGCATTATGATAAATCTATTAAAACAATTTTTTTTACTTTTTCTTTTCTTAAAATGGCTTAACTTGAAGTGCTGTAAAAAATTGAGAAATTTTTTTTAAGGTACTTTATAATATGTTGCCATGAGGCCACAACGTAAAGTGGATCTAACTTAGAAATTTAAAATTCTAAACCTTCCTTATAATTAATAATTTTGTTGTTTGAAATGATTTAATTGGTGTTGCAGTGTTATACGCTTTAACACAGCGATATACTTTCCAACAACTCAAATTCCAACAGCTTTCATTCATTCTTTTCTTTTTACCTGAATATTATTAAAAACAAACCTAATATTAATATTATATTTATATACAGTAAATATAAATATTTTCTCCAGAAAATATAATAACAAATAAATAACAAGCCTAATATATCCAGATACATCAGAAAAATGCAGCTACTAGCTAACAATGTTTATATATATTATACTATACTACACCTGTTTTGTCTGCATCTGAGCTTACCTGAACTGTCTCTATCAAATGTCCAGTCTGCATCCTGCTCATGGTCACTAAAACCAATCTCATCCTCACTTTCATCAACAAGAAGAGCCAGTTCTGTCACTTTCTTTTTTCACTTACCATAGAACATGGTGGCACTCGCTAATACACTGTTCCCTGTATTGATGTCTATTCAAAAGTATTATTGCCAATAAAACAAGATTTTTATCCATAATTTAAATTCCATTAACATACAGCTAATCAACATTATATTACTAGCATTCATGTTGTTATTGTTACAACTTAAAAGATCTCAGCTGACCTTGCCATTTGGCAACACATAGATTTGATTTATTTACAAAAAAAAAAAGAGTTTGATAAATAAATAAAAAAAGTTGTGAATATGTCATCATAACTTACTGAAGGTGATGTTTCAGATTTTTTTGTGGATCGGACATAATTTGATGGTTTGTTTTTATTGACGTTTTAATTTGTATTCAGCAACTACTCACAATAAACGCCAATCTGTTAGAAATCGCGCTACAGAAAAACCCTGCATGTCCTGTGACTTA